TAGTGCTCGGGACAGAGGCAGTGCGTGAAGCCCTGTGCACTCCCCCACCACCACCTCGGAGCCTGTTGCCGGCCACTTCTGGGGTGCAGCACAGTCTGTGGTGCCAGGACAGGCAGGAAGCTGCCTTACCCCCCCCACTCCCCCCCTGTCTCTGCAGCACCGAGACCCCGAGCCCGACATCCCACCCCCAGTCCTGGGGCGCGACTCCTAGGTTGAAAACTGCTGCTCTGTGGGACCTTCCCCCAGCTGGGAATCCGTCACGCCACGCGTCCGGCTCCCTGCGCCCACGTGCCCACTTCCCGCCCCCACGCCCGAGGGCTGCAAAGTGGCCAAAGTGGGGAGCGAATCTCCCCTGCAGTTCAGAGCAGAGCTCTTGCACGGCCGTAACTCTGCTGCGGCTGCTTCTGGCCTCAGCACAGAACGGGGCTGCCATCAGTGTGCCCTCAAGGTTGGCCCCCCCCGGGGGGGAATAAACTTTTTTGCATGCACCGATGTGCACCACCAATACAAAACACAAACCGAGCTGTGGGCACTCTGCTAACCAGCTGGGCGGGACTCTGAATGCTCCTGGGTGGCCACCCATGCTTGCAGGGCTGCCATGGCAGGGAATGACACCGTTTCAAAGGCCCGACATGCCAGGAAGGGGGGAAGACCCACGGCAGGGCCAGAGGCGGATATGGAGACAGGCAGCTGCCCGGGCATGTCCATCCCAGGCCCGCTCTGCAGCACTTCGGGGATGGAGCCCTGACGTACGACTACCAGAGGCCCAAGGGTTTTCCCTGGGAAGCTGGGGAGCTTTCCAAGATTGCCACACTCCCACCTGACATTTCCAGGCAGGTGGCTGAGGAGAAAGGGAAGAGAGGGCCCCCCCCATCATCATTCACCGACTCCCAGCTGTTCAGACAGAGTGCTCAGGGCTGATTTCTAATGCCCCCCCAGTAGACACACACCCTCCCCGGCACTGGCTGGACCGCCCCGTCCTCAGCTCAGGGGATGGCTCCGAAGCCGGAGGTCGCATTTACATTTCAGAAGCAGGCAGCTGGA